CTCCCGGGGCTGAGGTGAGTGGAGATCCCATGCCCCCTCACCCTCCCCTGCTCACCTCTGCACCCAGCAACCCTGCAGTAGTCGGCCGGTACAGACTCCTTAAAGATATTTCTTCTTCTCTTTCCTAGCAAGAAAGCAAGGGGCAGCACATTGAACCTCATCCTCTCAGGTTCAATGAATTTCAGCCCCGAGTGGGCCACCAAGCGTCCCCTCCCCAGAAGGCAAAGGGACAGCCACCCTAGGAGTCCCAAAGACAAGGCTCTGCTCGTAGATTTTCAAGAGAAAGAAAATAAGCACACTCCTGACGTTTGACAAATATGATGAAATGTTGAAGTCTGATGGAATGTTCTCTCTGTCTCCCTTTCTGCGGTAGCCCCAAAGGCCAAAAATAAAACAGTAGATGCCAACCGCTGGCCAGCCAGTCCAGATGAAGAGCTGGACACGTGGGCACGACTAGCAAAGGCGATGGTCCAGAAGTCATTCTTGCAAACCCACTCGCTGGGGAAGGGGGTGCTTTGCTCTCTCTTAAGCTGAGAAAGGGGTTTGATGAGTCACTCGGAGGGCTTGATTTGTGCAGCCAGTGAGAGGGGAAGAACCAGAGGAAAGCTGAGATCAGGTAAAGCCATGCAACAGAGAGGAGAGAAAAAGGACAGGGCTGCCCCCATTGGGGCAAGGATGCCAGGATCTGAAGAGTCTGCACGGAAGCCAGATGGGTGCACAGTCATTTGAATCTCGCCCCAGGCAACTGAGGACGTGACCACAGCTGAGATGTGGGCCGTGGGATGAGTTCCCCGTGCAGCCGGCTGGAGGACACTCAGGGTTCCTTCTGACCAAGGAGGCTGAGGCCAGAAGGGCCCAAGAATCTAGGAAAACCCCACCTGAGTGAGAGCCAGTGGGGGAATCCCAGCATGCACCATGACCGGTGCCTTTTGTGTGAGTCAACTAAGAACCTCCTGGCTCTCCAGCCCACGCCTCCGGGAGCCACAGGCTACACGTTGGGTGGAGAAGAAGAAAAGCAAAGCAAGGAAGGCAAGAGAGAAGGAGTTGACCCCTTTCCCCAACCCGGCTCAGCTCAAACTGGAGGAGAGAAGTTTTGCCTTTGGATGAACTTCTGAGTTTTGCTCAGCACACAAGAGTCTGAATGGCGTGCGGACAGAGCTAAATTGAGATGGCCCTTGTCTCTGATCGTGCTCGGAGAATTTATTATCTGAAAGGGACCAGAGAAGTTACGGGGCTCACCAGAGCTTTCATCCAGGGTTGGAAAACAAAAATAACTCACAGTGGGGGTTTACAGGGAGAAGTGGATGGGGAGGGGGTGATGGATAAAGATGTTTCCTTCTTGCACCCTACAAAGTTCTGCACAGGCAGACATTTGTATGTGCATTTTACATATCTTCAAATAACCCTATAACAGAGGTCCAATTATCAGCTGCCAGCTCACAGGTGAAGGAATCAAGGAGCCGTCCCATGCTGGACAGGGCTGGGGCAGGACTCACGTATCCCATAGTCCCGTGTCCACCAGTGACCCAGAGATCTGACTTCCCCCACTTGCTTCTGAACAATAACAGAGGTCCCTGAGAGAATCAGCTTCACTCTTAATTCAATAAAACCTTGGATTGCAAGTAACTTGTTCTGTGAGTGTTCTGCAAACATTTCTAATAAATTTTAACTTGATCAACGAGTGAGGTCTTGCAATACAAGTAGCCGAACGTCACGTGATCACAACTGAGCCAGTGGTTCTCTCTCTCTCTCTCTCTCTCTCTCTCACTGAGGGATTGTGGGTGATCGTCTCCCATGCTTGGATGCTTGGTCTCAGGCCGTGGTGTTTGGCAGAAATCAGTGGTTTTTCAGGACGTTGGAAGGTGCCCACGACTGGCACTGGTGTATTTTTTGTCACTTCACAGCACCTACGGACAGTCCTCTGCTTTTCTGGACAAGAGTAAGCTGAGGAATACTTTGGTTCCTCCTAGTTCAGGCTGCCTGCAGATAGAGACCCTTTCCTCTGCTGCCTGATTGCCAGTTACCTTAAATACAGTATAGGACAAGAGTTTCTTAATACTGTAATCTGGTCAACATCCGTGCCAGTGTATGCAGTGGTCCCCATTCAGAAGATTCCATGGAGCCAATAGATAGCAGTGATTCCACTAGTGATAGTGGAAGTCGTCCTGCACAATAACCCTCCTCTCTCTTGTCTCCCTCACACCAGCTACGAAGGTTTTCAAAGGCAAGTGCAAGTTAATTTGTTTATTTTTCTTTATATTTTGGATTTTCTTTATTATTTTGCATTATATGACAGTGCTGTAGTCACTGCATATGAATATTTTGGGGTTGTGGAACGAATCATCTGAGTGTCCATTATTTCTCACGGGGAAATTCGCTTTGATATCCAAGTACTTTGGGTGACAAGCATGTTTCCAGAACGAATTATCTCGCACACCGTGGTTTTACTCTACTTCACCTGGTGTTGGGCGCCTAGGAGGTTTGCATTCTCAATGAAGGAAAAGCCGCCCAACCATAGAATAGAGCAGAGATGCATTTTACAGATATTGACCAAACATTTGGCCAAATACAAACTGATCAGCCACTCCCAGCTCCTCTTGCCCCACCTCCCACATTCTCCCCTTTTCTACTATACTTTCCACTCCCTCCACCAAGACTGGGTAATAGTTTCGGTCCAGACAAGGTGGAGAATAATCATGCCAATCACTAGGGGACAGGTGAGGCAACAAGGTTAAAAATATTTACCTTGGCCCCTGGATTTCCTCTCTTCCCTGGAATCCAGTCACCATGAAATGCCTCCTGCCTTTGGGCAATTACATGGCAGAGTCAGACTCCTTCATGTTTGAACCACTTCCTTCCTCCTGGGGTCTCTTTGTTACAGCACTTTAGCCGGGACCTCACCTAATCCCATCAGGGAATCCCGCAGCCTTGGATAGTTGATGCTGAAGGTCCATACGGTCTTGGTCGAGGACCCTGGGGGCTTCGGAGTGGAGCCCCATAACCCCAGTTTACAGTCTGGGCACAATGGTTGCTGGTACATTAAAGGTATGGGTTGTGCCTGTAATCTCGTTTTAGACCAGCTTCGCAAATAAAGACATCAAGTTCATTGATCCACTCGCCTCTCTCTTGAGAGCCAGCCCACGTTGTGTGCTCTCTAGGAGACAAGTTTCCTCATCCCCACATGAGTAACTCTTGTGAGCCCAAAGGAGTGGATCCCACAGAATGTAAAATGACACGCTCTTTCAGAATTAAATCACCTGCGCTTCCTTGCGTGGTCAGCAAGTCCAGGTTTTGGCCATGCCCCTAGCCACCGTTCATTTCTAGAAGCGTCAAGACAGATGACTCAGTAGCCCCCGGGGGCTTATTTATGGACTGAATAAGGTAAATTGTCCCACATTAAAAGCAAGTGAGGGGCTCTTATCTACTAATCAGAATCTGATGAAGCTGAGAATTCAGGGGAGGGGGATAATGAATGGTTTGGCAACCCACTCGAAAAATCTTTTTCCCATGAGAGCTTGCCATGCAACTTTGAAGAAACGTTTTTGACGATGTAGTCCTTAATATCAACCCACCCCTGAATCCAATTATAATCCCAGCAGAACACTCTCAGGCAACAGTTCAGGGCTTGGGGGCAGAAACCAATGACAAGGGGCCCGTGTCCAGCAGCCCAGGGAATCACCTGCACCCTCTCTTCGGGGATTTCCCAACAGCAGCACTTGCTGATTTGGACAAGAGAATCTTCCGTTGTGGAGGGGTAGAGGACTATCCCGTTTGTAGAATGTTTGGTGTCACTGCCTGCCCTCCACCCGCTAGAGGCCAGCAGCGTTCCCCACACTAGTCCTGACACCCCAAAAATGTTTTGAGACGCTGCTCAGTGTCCCCCCGGGGCAAAGTTGTCCCGGGTTGAGAGCCACGGCTCTAGATGAATTCAAGGAGGCAAGGAGGCTCACCCACCACTGCATCCCCAGGGCCTAGCACAGTGCCTGGCACATAGCAAGGGCATAACACATACCAGTTGAGTAAATAACTATGAGAAGAGGTGGGGGTGCACCGAGGCCTAAGCCTCCAGAAGCGCCTACCGGGTTGCATGCAGCAGACATGAACGTGCGTGCTCAGAGCCCCTGCTGCAGGGAGTGGATGGACCGATGGCCAGCAGTGTGTCCGTGCTGGGGCCGGGCTTCCCCCCCAGGTGCTCCCAGCCAATGACCTTGCATGGTGGAGGTGAGAAGGCAGAAACGTTCTTGCCAGACCTAGTCACTCTGCGTCAAGGACACCCCAATGGCAAGGCCAAAACTCACTTGGAACTGTACTGCCATATGAGACTCTCCAAGCCTGCCCTTCCTTCCCCAGAGGCCAGCCAGGCACTTGGTCTGAAGGCCCCTACCTCCTTCTCCAGATCGCACTCTTTATCCTTCACAGGTGTTTCCCCCAATAAACCCCTTGCCCAGCTATTCCCATCTTGTTTCTACTTCTTGGTGGATGCGAACAACACACCTGCTCATTCTAGAAAGATGCCTTTCCCCGACACCCCTTTCATGCACGATGCCGTGCTCTGGGGAGCTCCGTTGATAGAAGTAACATGCACAAACCAATTTAACCAGGGAGGGAGTTCTTAAAAGCGACTCAGTGTCCTTTTGTCTCTAAAACCAAAGGAGAGATGAATTGAACTCATAAACTGATAAATAGTAGCTCATAGCTAATAAAACCAGACGCACACTAACATCCCAGGCCTAGAGACTCTCACAAGTTAACCTCTTATTGGTTTTAAGGCAAGTAAAGTCCTCTGGTCCACATGCCTTTCTTCTGCCCAAAGAAGGGAAGGTCAGGAGGGAGGGTGGGAATCGGCCATCGGGACCCCAGGCAGTGCACGCTTCCCCACAATCCATCCCGTCTTCTCTCTCCAGGCCCCAAATGTGATCGAAATGCACTTGGGTTCGAGAGCCCGTGGCCCCATCTGGCAGGGTCTGCTGGGAGCGTCTTCTTGGTCCAGCGCCCCCGGCTCAGCTAGCTTTCCCCTCGGCCACGCTCTCCCAGGGACAGATGACCTCCTTCTCCTCGGCCCGGTCACCCGAGTCTCCTGTCCCGGTGTCCTCCGAGTCCATCAGGCAGGTCCCACTCTGCGTAGGCACGTCCATTTTGATCTGGAAAAAGCTTCAGGCACAAAAGACAGGCAAGTGCATAGGGACAGAAGGGACACCAAATCCTCAGCTCACCCTGACGTCCCTGGAGGAGAGTAACACCCAGATGTGCCGCGACCGGGCTCCGCGGATCTCTTTCACTAGGGGTAGAAGGGGACTCCTGTTTCTCTGCTGGACTCAGGCTCAAAAGATGCTTTATTTTCATGTTGGAGGGGCTCAAATTGTTAGGGTTGGAGCAACCAACAGGAGCGTGTTGGTTGGTGCAGGGATACCCCTGACTGTCTCCCCAAAACCAAATAGAGGCGGGGGGCTGATTCTCAGTTTTGCACCGTCTACAACTTTTCTTTCTTGCCATTGGTCCAGCAGTTGGCGTGCACCCCCTCAGAGCCTTTGTGCTGCCCCCGGTGACCTGCCTCCGGGCGCTTGGGGTTCTCAGAACTCAGGCTTACACCCAAAATGGAGCTGAGAGGGGCCACCTCTCGGGGGAGACTGGGCACAGTCATTTTCACAGAAACACCTGTAGAAGCAGGAATCCCCGCAGGCCCCTCTGAGAGCCTGCTCGGTCGGTTAAGCATCTGACTCGGTTTCGGCTCAAGTCACCATCTCACGGTTCGTGGGTTCGAGCCCCGCGTGGGCTCCCAGCTGGCAGTGTGGAGCCTGCCTGGGACTCTCTCTGCCCCTCCCCCGCTTACTCCCTCTCCTCTCTCTCTGTTTCTCTCAAAGTATATAAAAAATTTAAAAAAAAAAGTACAATGGATTCATTAGACTGACTTTCTGGGGATGGGGCAGGCTGGGTGGAGCACAGAAGGGGGAAAAGGTGGAAAAGAAAGACTCCCATTCCTTTTCTTTCTTAGGAAGCAGGCGAGGGCAACGCTGAGTTTCTGGAAACTATCCAGTGGCCAAACAGCCCTCTTGTCGTGTCTGCTAACCCAGAATCCTCATTACTCACCCCCCCACCCCCAGTTCTAGACTGTGCTCAAGCCCATGGCCTCGGTACCCAGCACAGACATACACACACACACACACACACACAGACATGCGTGCACGCGCACTCATGCATAGACATATGCACACGCGCATGCTCACATGCGGGCAAATGTGCAAACACGTATGCTCGCACAGGGACAAATGTGCCCCTGCGCTCACACACAGCACAATCCTTTCTGGTTCTTACTTTGCTACTCTCCTGGATTTCAGCCGTGACACCTGCTGGCCCACGTCCCCCAGGGGCTGCACCTTCCCGTGGGACACGGGCGGGCACTTGGGCGAGAGCCTGGCAAAGACCGGGGAAGCCGAACAGCCCCGTCTCAGAAACCTGCTGAAGGACAGAGCCACGCGGGCCTTGGGCCGGACCCAGGGGTGTTCGGCCGAGGCCTCACCCCCGGCGGTGTCGGAGGGCCCTGGGCAGGCCCCGGAGGCACCAGCGGCCCCCGTCTGCTCGGAGCTCTCCGAGGCCACTCTCATAGGCGTGGGGCAGATGGTGCTGCTGGGCCTCCGGATGAAGCGGCCCGGCGAGGGGAAAGGCATCCTGGGGGAGCGGCAGGAGGGGGAGAAGGGACCCGAAGGAGACGGGGGCACGCAGGTCCCTGTGTACACGGCCAGGTGGGGGCTGGGAGCGGTGTGCTGGCCCGGCTGCAGACAAGGAAAGAGAGAGTTCAGGGTGAGTCGTGGGGGCTCAGGGACACAGCCCTCTGCTGACTTAGCCCCTTCCAGCGCCCGGAGCACGGCCTGGTGTGGCGGGCCCATTGGGGAGCTGGGAAAGGGGCCCGGAGCCCCCTGTGATGACGGCCCAGCCACACACGGGCCTCCCGTCAAGGAGGCCCTGGTCACGGTGCCTGGAGCTGGACATTTGCATCCAGGCTGACCTTTGCTGGGCCTGGGATGCTGGGGTGAGGCCAGGCTGGCTTTCCAACTGCCCCGAACCCCCGTCCCCCAGCAAACAATGCTTAGGACCCGCTAGATGCCATGCATCCTTTCTCCGTCCTTAGTTCCCAGCACGAGGACACTTTTAACAGAGCAGTGGTGATACGGACCCTGCTCACTCCTCCAGGCTTGAGACCACCACACCTCGTCCTGAGCCCCGACCCCGCGTCCAACTGGCCACGCCTTGGGGGTCGCCAAGCCCCCGCACTGGCCGTGCCTCCCGCGGCAGAACAGGGTGGCCGGGAGGGGAGGCAGAGTGGGCGTCGTGGGCTCGTCGCTGGAGAAGGGTAGCATCCCGACCTCCCTGGGCTCCCGTGGCCCCAGAGTCAAGGAGCGGGAGGGGGGAGGGGCAGGAGTGCTGGACCAGCAGGTTTTCAGCAAAGAAGCCCAGGAGAGCTTGGTCTGAGCTGACACAAAGTTGGAATTTCCAGGGAGGCTCTCTGCTGTCACCCCTCTGTTGTCACCGCTCTTCCCTCCACAGATGGGCCTCCGAGGGCCCATCGGCCCGGTTCGTCATGCCCCGTCCTAAAGGCCTGCTGCAGCCTCTCACCGTGTCAAAGCCCAGTCCTGGCAGGGAAGGGGGACCCTCTGGAACAGCTGGGCCATCACTGCCTCCGAGAGAGAACTGGAAAGGACTTCAGTGAAGAACAAACCCTCTTTGAAACTGGCACGGCCACACGACGCCCAGCTTAGAGAAACCTGCCTGCCCCGGGGGCCCGGGCACTGCCCCGGGGCCGAGGGAGGGCAGCTCCGGGCGCTGAGCTGGAGGCTGCTGGCTTCTATGGGGTATGGCCTGGTTTCCAGGTCCCCTGAGCGTGCTGGTCCCAGCCGGAAGAGAAAGGGGCAGGCACATCCAAGGACGGCTTTTAGAGGAAAAGAAAGGCCAGGAGGCCACAGAAGTCTTTGCCGTGGGGGACAGAGGGGGGACGGCCTCCATTCTCCCCCACCAGCTCCCTGAAGTTCAAGTTCGATTCCATTCTGAAACAGCAGCTGAGAGCCACTGGTACTGTGCCTCTGCTCAGGTCTCCACAGGCCCACAAACCAGAGCCAAGGCCCAGACCTGGGGCCCCAGGGTTAACATACGAAATCAAAACTCCTGGCCTTAACACACAGCGAGAACTCAGGAAACGTGAGGGTCGAGGCTGAGCACGTTTTGTGGATCATCGCACTTACTTCCCAAAGCCGCTCAGTAAGGCCACCAGCTCTTACTATGCCCATTATACAGACGAGGAAACTAATGCTTCGAAAACCGAGCCCCAAGGACAGGCCACCGGGGACAGGGCCGGCTTTGAAGCCAGGCCCATGGACGGCCGAGTCTGCACGTGTAACAGCTGGCTGGCCATCTCAGGATGGCCTGCCCATCAGCGCACCCCGGGATCACCCAGGGTGCTGCTGCAAGTGCGGATCCCAACCCCACCAGACCCACTGAAGGAGATTCTCGGGGGGACACAAGGAAAGCATCTTCTAACAAACACCCGAGGTCACGATTTGGTTATGTCCAGTTTGAGGAGCCCCACGCCATGCTTCTATAGGGCAAGGGGTCTCCACTTAGGACACAGTCTGCTGACCAGAAGAGCAATAAAGGAGAAAGCTGGGCCCTCGATAAGGGTTTGGGAGACAACGGTTAGGTGAAAGGGTCTGGCCCTGTAATTCTTAAGCATCTGCTATATGGTAGGTAATCTAGCATATTACCTAGTATCCAGAAAATTGAGGTCTAGACGGGCTCATTGCCATCCCAAGGCTCTCACAGCCAACAGGGACAATGATATGTACAACACGAAGGTGGCCGCTCACACTCCTGCCCCCGTCTTCCAGTGTGGGTGTGAACTAGAAATGGCACACGACAGCCACTCCGTGCTCAGGTGACGCGATATGGCATAGGTGACATCAACAAAGGATTACCTGGGTGAGCCTGACCTCATCACACGAACCCTTCAGATCTGAGTCACAGACCAGGGACAGACGTCAGACAGGGTTTGAAGCACGACAGGGACTCAACAAAGGAGAAATTCTCCAGGATTGGCTTTGAAGGTGGGACAGAGGGGACACAGGACGAGGGATAGGGCAGCTTCTAGGAGCTGGGTGCAGCCATCAGCTTAACGGCCAACAAAAACGCTGGGGCCTTGAGCCCTACGGTGACAAACTGAGTCTCCACAACAACCTCAAAGAGATTGGAAGCAGGTTCTTCGTAAGAGCCTCCAGATAGGAACACGACAGCCTGGCGTGACCTTGGGTGTGAGACCGTGAGCAGGGGGCCCGGCCCAGCCTCACCTGGCCATCGGTGCGCAAACAAACGGCTGTGTGTGCGCTGTTTCATTGCACAGCAGTAGATAACTAACACAGAATGAGAATCCCATCCGAGGAGCGTGAAACCCCAAAGCCCCCTGCTTTGTCTACTGATCCATAAGGCCATCCCATTGCCTGTGGGGTTCAGATGGGACCTGGGGTCCTGGAGAGCGGGCTGAGACACCAAAACTAGGCAATAGGCTTTGGTGAGAGAATAAACTGACTGAGGACACCCTACCTCCGGTTCATTCTCTTGAATCCCACTTACTCAGAATCTGTGATAAAGTCCTTATAATCCCCACTTTACAGATTAGGAAACTGAGCCTCGTGGAGATGACAACTTGACCAAGATCGCACAGCTTATGACAGTACAGGCCACTCCCATTTACTGCCCTCCTTAATTCTGTGCCCTCCTCCCCACCCCACTCTTCTCCCCTCATCACTTTCTTTTCCAGGATGAATGACAAGACAGGTGAGGAGTGGCCACCGTCCTGCTTTACTCACCTGGCCTGAGAAGGTCCTTTCTTCTGGGAAAATAGCCACTGACCCCATCGGCCCCGGACACCCAAAGCAGGAAGGCCTTTTTTACCCCCTTCCCACCAGGACTCTGGCCCCTCCCACAGAGACCTGGCCCCTCCAGCCCACGCCACGCCCACCCCTGGTGTGACACAGCAAAGCAGCGGCATGCAAGGCACGTGGCAAAGAAATGTGACACACGGAGACACGGTGAAGCTCTGAGAGCTCTGTTTTATTAGGCAAGGGAGTGACACAGGGGGAAAGAGCGTGGAATGGAGTGGGTACACTGACATGACGTCACGATCGTAGGCTTTTTAATGGCAGGCAAGGCAGATAAGTGCAAAGAGGTGCGATTCGTCTTCTGTCTAGAAACTGGCTGAGAATCTGAAGGAGTCCTTGTGGCCCCCTGAACTCCTGCTTCCTAAGCCACATTCAGGTTCAGCATGCAGTGTGCACAGCACCCTCTCCGGTCCCTCCTTGCTTTCCCCTCGCCCACTGCCTCCAAAAGCAAATAAGCAAAGTTGGCTCCGTGGAAACAAATCCACAAGGGTGGGCACATCATTTCTCCTACCCACCATCTCGTGTGTGGCACAGCCTTACCATCTTGAACGGACCCTTGCTTTAGCCACAGAACTTGGACAGACTCATAGAGCACGTGACATCAATGGCCCACCCTCGTCCCTTCAAATATATCCTGATGGTCCCTGGAGAGCTGGGCGGCCCACACTGCAAGACTCTGAGAGAGCAGAGAAGTGAGACGGTTTAAGTCAACAAAGCTAAAAGTGCACCCGAGGGAATGCCCGGAATAGTAAAGAATAATGGATCACCGTACTGGACGAACACCGACAGGTGCAAGGAAGCCCAAGGTTACTCTAAGACCGTACGCGACTAAGGATGGTGGTGATGATGGTGGTGATGATGAAGATGACGACATTGACGGTGTTGGTGATAAATGGTGGTGATGGCGACAGTGATGATGGTTGTGACCAAGGTAACAGGAGCTAGCATCTACTGAGCGTTTATTATATGCCAGGCATTATCTTATGTACTCTTCTTGTATTTTCTTGTCCCTAGCCCTCGTATTACCACAACCCTCACAAGAAGAGCAGTCCTTTCTCTAAAAGCCAAGCTTAAAAACGAAATTCTACAAAGGAAAGCCTGGCACTTTCCAGCATGATTTATATTCTAGCATAAGAGACGCACCACCGTAGGTGGAGAAACTCAAGCTGTTTAAAGCATGGCATTGAGGAATCAAGAGGGTGCCTAAGTACACAGAACACAGAAACTATCACAATCGTTTAAATATATCGATAATACTGTCCAAATAAATACTATTTTTGATGCTATCTGAGATCAAGACAGACCCTGCGGGGGCCACTGTTATGTTTGACACACAGAAATAAAGCCCCCAGGAACAGCTGTCACCTGCTGGGGCCCAGCGGCCGACGCTCTTACAAAACTTCAAAACTGGATAGGGACCTGGGCTCCTTTACTACCAAACACGAGAATCTCCTGGTGGATCCCCCCCCACCCCACCCCACCCCCGCACAGACCTCCAGGCCAGACAATCCTCTCCCATCTCTGTGCTCTTCTAGTGTGCCAACTCAGCCTCGATCCCGTTCCGTCTCACGTTGCAGCCATTTGCATCCAGCCCCTGGAGGGCAGAGAACCTCTTGCCCATTTCTGTACCTGTCCCAGCAGCCATCACCGGTTCTTACATAGAAAAGGTGTTTAGAAACGTGTGGAGGGGCGCCTGGGTGGCACAGTCGGTTAAGCGTCCGACTTCAGCCAGGTCACAATCTCACGGTCCGTGAGTTCGAGCCCCGCGTCAGGCTCTGGGCTGATGGCTCGGAGCCTGGAGCCTGTTTCCGATTCTGTGTCTCCCTCTCTCTCTGCCCCTCCCCCGT